TGTATTTTGCAAAAAAACGAAGTCACATTATACAAACTGAACCAATAGAAGGTGCTGTATCTGTGTAATGTGCTAAAATGTAATTGGTTTTCCAAAGGCAGATTCTTTTTTGCATTACCAAGCTGTAACAAAGTAATGTTTGTTGTACTTTAAAAAAAATGAAGTCTGGTTTCATTTTAATCTCAATTAAAATGTTAGAAACAAAATACTCTGGAAAATTAGTATAGTTTCACTGTAGATCAATTACAACAGGGTGTGGCCTCTATTTTATAGTTGAGTCATGGTTTTTCTATGTACAAAAACTGAAACCCACCTAAATGTGGAGAGGGATAGGGTACATCTATGTGTGCAATGCCTTCTGTTCACTTTCCCTTATACGTTGACAAAAGTTCCCATTAACCTCACAGACCCCTCCACCCTTCCATCAAGAGCACTGACTGCTCTCTAGATCTTTTGTACTGGAGTTTCTCTGAAGTGCTGCACTGTTCATAAATATTTTATACCACCCCAGAAAATGACACTAAGCAGCATATTTCAATTAGATGAAGCCCAGAAATTCTCTACTAGGAGTAGCTCCAGAGGCTTATTTATAGAATTTATATAGTACCTCAGAATGAGTTTGACTTTGTCATATATTGTTTTTCTGCTAATCTGTTCTGTTTTTATTTATTTTTCGTATTTATATCCCACCCTCCATGTGTTGTTTCCAGCATTCCACAAACCTGCTTGCCAACTGCTCAAAGGTAAATATGTTTACTGGTGACTTGGAGGCAGCACCAGAGCAATTTAGGTTTTAAATCCTACTTTTCAGCAAAAAACATGGCTCCCAAAGTGGCTCACAGGAATTCAAAACAAATACAAATGACATTAAAACTCAATATAAATGTTTGTAGGGGAATGGATTCTCAGCTGACCAGGGCCTGGGCACGATGTCGAGGTGCCTGGCTTCTTCCTGCCCTCCCTTTGATGGCTTAGCAATGGCAGCTGGAGGAAGGGACTTCTTAATTGATGTTTACATTGCCTAATACAGTGAAGAACAAATTGAGAAAGGAAATACAGAAAAAGGGACAAAGCAAAAATATCCTTGCATTGAGCACATATCCTGGCAGCATCTGGTGCTTTTCAGAAGTTTTGTTTTCATCAACTTCTTTCATGGCTTCAAATTTATTATTTCATGTTAACTATTGTTAAAAAGCTATAATACATTGCCATGTATCCAACCATCTGGTATCAACAAAGGCAAACAAGGCTGCAGGCTGGTTTGCTGGCAAAGGCCATAGCAAAAGATCCACCCCCTCCAGACTGTGTGTTACTGAAATGAAGGACAATTCTTTTTTTTTTACTCCCTCCTCCCACATCCCTTGTTTTTTCTAACACCCTCCATCCCTAACTTTCTATAACTACCAAGACTAAGATTGGGTGTGTGTGTGTGTGTGTGTGTGACGGATGGCACACTGACCATGCTTTATGCAATTTTTAAAATGTGTTTCCCTGGTAAAATGGACCATTTCTCTCCCCTCTGTCCCAACCTATTTAACATATTTAATATAAAGATCAGATTAATCTACAAATTATCTTATAGTTGCATGTAACTGTGGGATTGTTTTTTTCTCCTGGGTACTAATAATCAGCATTTAGCTACCAAGCACAGCCAGAATTTGTGCACCCAGCCCTGACTTTGCAAATATTATATATAATCTATGTAAGCAGATCATGAGACAATATTGTGGTTCTATACCAGCACAAACCAAGGAAGGGGGGGAAAAAAACCAAACCACACTGAAAGAACTGCAGTATCATGCACTGCTTCTTTATTTACATGTTTTTAGTTATGGAAGCTACTGGGCAGAATCTGTCAGTAAATTTTAGTCAAAAAAAGCAAACTTTTTTAAATTGTGGGAAACAGGCAAGAATGAGCTTAACACATTTGATTTATTTGGAAAGAACTCTATTTTAATTTTAATATTAAACACTCAATGACAATCAAATGTGTAACAGAAATTCATAGATACTTTCCTCCATTTGAGTATATCAAGAAGCTAGGTGTAGCCTTGTAAAAATGGAATTTTAGTCTGAGTCACACAATACTGAACATTTATCCTTTGTTTCAAAGTTCAAGAATGAAAACTTGCAGTTAAACACTGAGCAAGCCATGTGTTCAGGTTATATTGGTTTATCACCTTAAAAGTCTTATAGGAAAAAAATGATAAAGGACTTAAAATTCTCAGTAGCGGGTTTGCTTATTAACATCTCTCTGCAATGCTGAGAGGTCACAACAGTCCTGAATTACTTTTTATTAAAAAAATCTAACCGAACTTTAATTTTTTTCTATGCCACTACAGCTTTCTTTCACCTCATTTTAAAGCAGATCTTCAAATTATGCAGTCTTCAGGATTCTTCGCAGACTTGTCTCATGGCTGTCCTATAATGTAAAATGTTGGGAAAAGAGAGTCAGATAGTGGGAACATAAGAGGATACGTTTGCCACTCCTAAATATTGGCTCTGTTTTGCTGCCTGCTTTAATTCTCTCATCAATATACAGGGACTTTAGATGTAATATTTAACTGTTAGAGGCCACAATTCACCACCCACGGCTGTTGTCCTCATGTATGCCAACAGGACTTGCAAAGAAATTAAACGCAAGTGTTGCTGAAAGGACTCCAGGCTGCGCAACACTAGTGCAGAGAGAACTGCACTTCAACTGTTTAGCAGCTCCTCGGAGATAATTATAGCATATATTAACACTTATCTTCATAAAAATTAATTCATCCAATAATTTCAGCTGGGGCTATTTCCTGATTTAGGAATAACCCTGAAAATCACAAGCTAATAATGGGTGGTTATTAATTCAATTTAATTATGTGATGTGGCTGTATACATTCTTGCCATTTATTTATACCTATTGGGTGTATCTGAATTGGCCTTTATTTTCATTTGCCTCCCAAGTCTGGTATCAGCCAGTACAGGTCGCTGTGTGCCATGGCTGCCTGGCAATTCTCCTACACAGTAGGAAATTATAAACACATACCTCTTAAAGACTTGAAATGCATTGAATGTAACAAGGCGATTATTATGGAGTATTTATTGCATTTAATACGCTTAATATCTAATTCTGGGCAGCACTGCATCCCTACACACAGTTGAAAGAAAATTCCATCAAGTTAATTACATGTTAACAGTTTTTCACAAAATATGTACAAAGATTCCTTTTTCACTTTTTGTAAATAAAACACAAAACAGTAAGCTTAAAGATTACAGGCAACAGCATTCAAACATGGATGTGGGTAGAGAAAGGAGTACCTGGCATGAGTACCTGCTTAGTTTGACTGAATCCTTGATTTTTAATTTGGCTTTTCATGGGCCGCTCACAACACCAACGCTGTGTGAGGTATGGTAGTCAGCTGCAATTATTCATAAACCCTACACTTCCATCAATCCAATGCTACTGGCTCTCGAGTTACAGAACAAACTGCATTAGAATGCAAGGCAAAGCAAAAAAACTAGAAACATCCTTGACAAAGAAATACTAGCAGTTTATATAAAAACAAAATAGTCCAACATGTGCCTCAAATATTAAGTATTAAAGCAAATGTTTCTGATGCACCAACACAATATGGACTTAATTACAAAATCAGTTCAAGTTGTTTTTTAAAAAAATATAACAAATCCCCTAAAAATAAAAAATAGGACAATTAACTTCTATGGTGACTCTATTACAAATATGTTCCCAAGAGGCACACTAACGGGGAGGTATGAGTCTGCTACAAAATAGCCGATACAAAACAATGTACCTCAAAAGATTTTGCAGGGCTACACTGTGTTTTCCTTCAGAAGGTGCTTTAGTATCTCTTCATACTTGGCTTAGCTCCATCTTCATCTGTACATACTTACGCTGAACTGTTAAACAGTAACAAAAAGCCCTAATCAAAGTTTGAAATAATGCACTTACCTCTGTCTGATCTGAGGTCATATCAGATCAGTTTTAATTGGACTGAGTGTCACCTTCAGATTTAATGTCTTCATTGGTCCCATTGACCTCATTCTTAGCATCGCCTTCCTTGGAGTCCATGCTTGTATCTTCACTCTGTTTTTCTCGACTACTGGACTTCACACTACTTTTTTTATCATCAGATCCCCTCTTTTCTGCCATGAAAGAAGACATTGACCATGGACTTCACAGTAAACACATATATGGCATTACTTTTTAGGCATGGTGTGCACACTGAAACATCTACTGCTGCAAAATTGGAAACTGAAGAGATTAACACTGCTAACATTAAAATGAAGTATTCCATTAGAAAAAGCAAGAGTTGAGTAGACTTCAGAAGGACAGTGGATAGAATAGCACTGGGAGGGCATTACTGATCACAATGCAAACAATCACCTGTATTATAACAGCTCTGGTAAAAACCACAAGCCACATATATGCTATCTAACCCAGAACTTTTGTTGTTCAGTCGCACAGTCGAGTCCGACTCTTCGCGACCCCATGGACCAGATCACGCCAGGCCTTCCTGTCTTCCGCCATCCTCTGAAGTTTGCTCAATTTCATGTTTGTTGCATCTATGACACTGTCTAACCATCTCATCCTTTGCCGTCCCCGTCTTCTTTGACCTTCAATCTTTCCCAGCATCAGGGTCTCCTCCAGTGAGTGCTCCGTTCTCATTTGGTGGCCAAAGTATTTGAGCTTCAGTTTCATTATCTGGCCTTCCAGGGAACAGTCAGGGTTGATTTCTTTTAGGATTGACTGATTTGATCACTACTCACTATCAAAAAAGCTGGCACAAAAATATATAAAACCATAGATTTATCACAATTTTTGTTGTTCAGTCGCACAGTCGAGTCCGACTCTTCGCAACCCCATGGACCAGATCACGCCAGGCCATCCTCTGAAGTTTGCTCAATTTCATGTTCGTTGCATCTATGACACTGTCTAACCATAGCTCAAATTCTGCAGGTTTGTCTTTTAAGACTTCAGATGCCAATACCCATGACATGCTGATAAGCATCTGTGGGTGTACCAAAGCATGTTCAGATATGGTTTCTATTGCCTTCCCCGAACAATCTCCTATGCCCCCCAAAGGCTGATGCTGAGCAGGAGGCCCTCCAGAACAATCTACCATGTGGCACTAGGGGATGCAGCAAGGAAGGGACAATCTGCCAACATCACCACTGCACACATACACTTGTGCTCTGCCCACAGCTGCTCAGGCGACATGGCCACTGTTCTGGAGGGACTTCCCAACCCTTTCCAGAAGCTTTTGGGGAAATGGTGCTGGAGGAAGACTGTGCTAACTGCTTTTGCAAACTCACGCTATTTGTAGAAGATTGGATCTAAATATATTTTTTAAATCTTCACAGTAATATTTGCCTTCTGAAAACAGGCTGAGAAGTCGTCGAAAGAACAGGCAACCAGGATGAATTCACACAATACCTATAGGAGAAGAAAACTTACTCTGTTCCTGTGAAACTTAGAGACCTAGAATATAATCTTTGATGTGGCTATTGGAATGGAGTACAACAACACTATTTGAAGTTAATGACACTAATTTTATTTGGAATAAGTTTGTGGTTTCTCTAGATTTTCATGCAAATCTCTCAATAGCTGTTAACTCTGTCAAAGGTTTTCCATACCTAATAATAGATTTAAGTACGCCCCCCAATGGGAAGGAATTGCTTTCTTCCTCTCTCTTTCCCAAGGGTCCATTCCATCTGTTTTACCTTCATTTGCTTGCTATGCCCCATCACCTCACCAGCAGTTGGGGGTTGTCTCCCTATCTGCCACCACTGCCAGGAAGGGAGAGTCTGTGAGAAGGTGCACCATCAGGCTGATATTTAACAATCCATGACTGCAGGGAGCAAAAAAAGTAACCTTCAAAGCAATCATAAGTTTGCTTCTTTTCATCTTACTCTCCTATCTGGCATATTGTATCTAATTTTCACAAGCAAAACAATGACAAGTTACAGACTTGGCAAAATTGTTCCAGATGAAGCCATAGCTTAATGGGACACATAGTTCATTAAAACAGAAAAATTAAGTCAATTGCAGGGACAAGCAGAAAACAGACTGACAAATGGACTGTTTTTATGAAAATAGTAAAAGCCAGGAACAGCAGTTTCCCAAGGAAAATACAAAATGAGCTTAGTCTTAATCAGTTCTGTGTATTTTATCTTCTGTGTATTCCTCTTATACTCAATGCACAGGCAATGGCAGTTTCCATATAAGAAAGTTAACGGGTTTTTATTCCATTAAAACAGTTCTCACATATAACATGTGTAAGGCATAAGTGGAGCATACCACCTTTTAAATTATTTGACATGGTGAGCAAAAATTATTTCAGCATCCAGACTAAGAATATATCATCCAGAGTAAGAATATATCATCTGATTTCTGCAAAAGAAAGCAGAAACTGGATACCAACAGAGACTCTCTAAGCTATTTTTCTGGATAGGCATTGTGCTTATGGCGTATAAACGCAATCAAAAAGGTAGTCTTGATGGTAGCTTTGACTGCTACTGCCAAGAAAACTTAAGATAACTTTATTAAAACAGATAACCAAAAATGGAAAAATGCACAAGGAAGGGAACCATTTCCTAAAGAACACCACCAAATATTTGGAGCTTAGACAAAACAGCCTGTTAACTGTGGAACTCTTAAAAGAGATGTCTCTTCCATGTGATAAATGCTCAGGTAGAGTTGCTCTAACTAACCTTTTTGAAAGTCTTTGATTTTTACTTTTATTAGGTATCGCTGATTCACATGTAGATCCACTGAGGAACAGCAGTCTTGTTGCCCCGCAGAGGACTAGCAGTCAGTCCAATAAGCTTATCTTCTGTCCTATGTGGATACAATAGAGCTCAACAGCCCTATGAATGGGCTGAATGTGAAGATCCTTCTGGAGGTGTTTTAGGGCTGCTTTGAGTTTGGACAGATGGAAGAGAAGGCTGTTTTTGGCAACTATACAATGATTATTTACCTGTGGGTTGAAAGATGAACCTGTACTATCTGCATGTTCAAGCAGTTTACAGTAACTATAGCTAGTATATGCAGAGGACAAGAAATAGTTATAACGACTTCTTGAACAACTAAATTCTTCATAGGCTACCTATATGTTCCCACTGCCTGCTTCTTGAATACTGCCTTTCAAATTGTAAAAATAAAATAGATTTGGTCACACACGCAATGTAAATGCTAGAATGATGTCTGCTTAACATTAACTGTGACTGACAATGAGCAAGAACTCTAGTGTTATCACTGGGTGTGATTAGAGTTTGGGGCATTGTGGGTGGCAACCAGTGTTCCCTCTAAGCTGAGTTAGTGTGAGCTAGCTCACAGTTTTTTAGCCTCTGGCTCACAGATTTTTGTCTTCGCTCAGGGAGGATGGCTCCAGAGCTAACTAATTTATGCAGTAGCCTAATCACTCACTCACAACTTTTATGCCAGTAGCTCACAAAGTAGAATTTTTGCTCTCAAGACTCCACAGCTTAGAGGGAACATTGGTGGCAACAGGAAAAAAATCTCTTTCACAGAATCATCGAGTTGGAAGGGACCTCCAGAGTCATCTAGTCCAACCCCCTGCACAAGGCAGGAAATTCACAAATACCTCTCCCTCCACACCCGCAGTGACCACTGTTCCACACCCAGAAGATGACAAGAAACCTCCAGGACTGCTTCCTGATCCCAAAGTGGCAATCAGCATTTCCCTGGGCGTGTAAGAAAGAGCCACAAGAACTAAGCACTGAGGCAACCCTTCCTGCCCTCCCTCTCATGATCTGCCTAAGTTCAAAGAATCAGCACTGCTGTCAGATGGCCATCTAGCCTCTGTTTGAAAACCTCCAAAGAGAGAGAGCCCACCACCTCCCAAGAAAACCTGTTCCACTGAGGAACCGGTTGTTCTCCTCTGGACACGTTCCACCTTGACTATATCCTTCTTAAATTGTGGGGCCTAAAACTAAACACAATACTCTAGGTGAGGTCTAACCAGAGCAGAGTAAAGTGGTACCATCAATTCACGTGATCTGGACATTATACTTCTGTTGATACAGCCCAAAATCGCATTTGCCTTTTTAGCAACCACATCACACTGCTGGTTTATGTTCAGTGTATGGTCTACTAAGACCCCTAGATGCTTTTTGCACACACTACTGCCAAGAAAAAGTCTCCCCCAAGCTATAATTATGCATTTGATTTTTCCTATCTAAATGCAGAACTTTACATTTATCCCCATTGAAATTCATTTTATTTTAGCCCAGTTTTGCAGCCTGTCAAGATCATCCTGTATCCTGACTGTCTTCAACTGTATTTGCTACCCACTCCCAATTTAGTATCATCTGCAAATTTAATAAGCATTCCCTCTATCCCTTCATCCAAATCATTGATAAAGATGTTGAACAAAACAGGTCCCAGGACATATCCTTGAGACACTCCATATGTCACTCCTCTTTAAGAAGAGGAACCATTAACAAGCACTCTGGGTGCGATCTGTCAACCAGTTACAGATCCACCTAACAGTCATAGGGACACATACCAAACCACATTTTTCCAATTTGTCAACAAGAATATTATGTGGAACCTTATCAAAAGCCTTACTGAAATCAAGACAAACTATGTCTACAGCATTCCCCTGATCCAGCAAGGTAGTAACTTTCTCAAAAAAAGAGATAAGGTTAATATGACATGACTTGTTCTTGAGCAACCCATGCTGGTGCTTAGTAATTACAGCTGTCCTTTCTAAATGATCCTCCTTTTCCCCCTTCTTGAAGATGGGTACAACTTTTGCCCGCTTCCAATCTTGTGGCACCTCACCTGTTCTCCAATAATTCTCAAAAATAATGGGCAGAGGCTCAGAAATTACATCTGCGAGTTCTTTTAGTACCCTTGGATGCAGCTCATCTGGCCCTGAGGACTTAGTTTCATTTAAAGAAACTAGGTGTTTATGTGCTACCTCTATGTTGATTCTAGGTTGCATCTCCCTTCCCTCACCATGTGTTCTGTTTTTGCCATATTGAGCACAGTTTCCTCAGTCTACTCTGACTGAGGAAAAGTAGGAATTGAGCAGTTCTACCCTCTCTTCATCACCTGTTACAATTTCACTTTCCTGTCCCCACAATGGGCCTACCACGTCCTTGCTCTTTTTCTTTACACAAAAGTATGAATTAATCGCTGCAAGCATTCTTTCCCTTTCCCTAACATTCCGTGTTACTGCTAACCTCTCACATGCAGTGGCCATTATCACCAGAAAGATCCTATGAGCAAAATTTTCTGAAGCTTCAATTTCTCAGTAGAACATAGTAGAAAAATCATGAACACTTTCATCAAGATTTTCTTCAAAAAGATCTGAATGTAATTTAACTGAATTTACTTATTCATCAAATAACAGAATCAAGGACATGCACTAAGGATAGACAGCCCAACAGCTGCTTAGCTATGACTAACAAGGTCTGAATAATGCTATGACGATGTAGAAGAAATCCAAGGTATAAGTGCAACAACAATTTTTAAAAAGCTAAGGGGACAAAAGGCTGTAAGCAGAACAGAAATTTTCCTCCTTCCTGGTCCTGCTGCAGCCCCCATCCTGTGTCATGAGAAACAATGCTACCAAGAGCATCACTGGGTGTGCAAGGTCTCTAAAAAACTTTCTTGTTTCAGGGTTGGTTTACTTCGTTTGTTGAATAGCTGTCAGAACTACTGTAACATCAATCAGTTAGAACTGAATTATGAGAAATCTAAAGTTTTAGTTTTCTCTAAATCCAGAAAGCAATTTACCTGGAGAGTAGGTGATTATGAGCTTGAACAAGTAAAAAGCTTCAATTGAACAAGTAAAAAACTTCAAGTATTTAGGCCTTCACTTTCAAGCCACTACATCTTGGGCCCATCAGCAAAGAGTGACAATTAACAACTCCAAGGTGAATATTAATGCGCTCCTACATTTTTATTTCTCTGACCAAGGGAATCAAAGTCTTTAATCTGAAAATAAGGCCCAATTACTTTATGGCATTTCTATATGGATTGACACAGTAAACAAGTCAATAGAACAGGTACATTTGTCCTTCTTATGGAAGATACTGGGCGTCCCATCTTGTGTCTCGTATGCGGCCCTATGTTTGGAATGTGGTAAAAACTTTATGACCACTAGGGCATGGCTTATGACCTCTAAATATTGGCTTCCGCTGCATTATAACCCTGACCCTTCCAGTTACGATTACCAGCTTTTAATGGAATCTGAGTTTTCACCTTGGCTAGCTACCATAGAGAGTGAACTGGGGACTTTGAATATCCCCCTTGAATTCCTCCTTCTACTTTCAGAATCAGAGGCATTTCAAAAAATAAGAAACACGAGTATTGGAGGTAGAGCTGTACAATGCAGCCAATAAGACCTGCTCTCCCCTTAGCCATGGGATATTTCCCACTGTAGGACTTCTCCCTAGTTATCTCTACCAACTACAGACTCCAAAAATTCATAGAATTTTTTATCTTGCGATTTTAACCGGAAGATTTCAAGGTATACCCCTTACTAATAAACACTGTCCTTGTTTAAATGGAACTACTGAAACAGTGCCTCATGTGTTAGAGTGTCCTTAATATAATATTGGACAAAATATTTTATCTCCAATTTTATCCAGCATTATGGATTTTCCCAATACATATATATTGTTGAGTCTGCTTAACAACACTGATGACAATATAACTGATTCAGTGGCAACGTTTTTATATGTTGCTGTTCTTACACCAAGTAATGTTCTTTTATGTATTTGTTTAATGTTCTCCCTTTTATAATGCCAATAAAGGCAAACTAACTAATCACTGGGTGTGATGTGGGGGCACACAGTGGAAGGTTAAAAGCTCCTTTCTTCACTGGCAGAAAGCAAGATTTGGATGAAACACCAAAACAGGAAACCTGCTTCCTATAACCTCACAGATTTAAGTCATATCACTCCTAAATATTGGCTCTGTTTTGCTGCCTGCTTTAATTCTCTCATCAATATACAGGGACTTTAGATGTAATATTTAACTGTTAGAGGCCACAATTCACCACCCACGGCTGTTGTCCTCATGTATGCCAACAGGACTTGCAAAGAAATTAAACGCAAGTGTTGCTGAAAGGACTCCAGGCTGCGCAACACTAGTGCAGAGAGAACTGCACTTCAACTGTTTAGCAGCTCCTCGGAGATAATTATAGCATATATTAACACTTATCTTCATAAAAATTAATTCGTCCAATAATTTCAGCTGGGGCTATTTCCTTATTTAGGAATAACCCTGAAAATCACAGGCTAATAATGGGTGGTTATTAATTCAATTTAATTATGTGATGTGGCTGTATACATTCTTGCCATTTATTTATACCTATTGGGTGTATCTGAATTGGCCTTTATTTTCATTTGCCTCCCAAGTCTGGTATCAGCCAGTACAGGTCGCTGTGTGCCATGGCTGCCTGGCAATTCTCCTACACAGTAGGAAATTATAAACACATACCTCTTAAAGACTTGAAATGCATTGAATGTAACAAGGCGATTATTATGGAGTATTTATTGCATTTAATACGCTTAATATCTAATTCTGGGCAGCACTGCATCCCTACACACAGTTGAAAGAAAATTCCATCAAGTTAATTACATGTTAACAGTTTTTCACAAAATATGTACAAAGATTCCTTTTTCACTTTTTGTAAATAAAACACAAAACATTCCCTTACTGAAGTGTCAGGAAAAAAGTATCTGTTCAATTAGGATGCACATTTTCTCATTTGCATTACAACCAGGATGTATATTTTGGTTACTAGGACCCTAAGTAGATGAGAATCTGGGAGATCCATGAACCAATGTGCCCAGTGTTTGTTTTTGGGATATTAGAAAAAAGTGAACAAATGCACAGGGACTCCAATTAATATTACGATGTGTGTACAGGAAAGAGGACAGTTTAAACCCCCACTCCATAGTTATGCTACTCAAACTCCCCCCTCCCCCAATAGACAATCGCTATGACTGTCTTTTTCCCCCCATTCAAGGGCTGACATATTTATTTCATTTAGAAAATGTACACACTACCTCTCTACAGACCTGCTTGAGGTGGCTTACAAAGTAAAACATGAGAAAATCAGAAAAGCCACAAAAAATCATAAAAAGCATTAAAAACTGAGCCAAGAAAATAAGAAACTGTCCCAACTTCCAAAATTATAACCTCATACACTTGTGAGAATTACCAGGAAAAGTAGCAGGGGGTGGCAATATGGAGGAGGTGTTAATCCCCCCCCCACACACACACACCACAGCCCATTCTATACCCCAGTGGGCTGCAACTACTCTTTCCAAAATGTTGGGCAGATCCATTCACAGATCTCCCACTGACTCATTTAGCTGGACCCCTGGGAACTTGATATTAGGCCCTGTTATTTTCTTTTTTGTTTAAATAAGGAATGTCAGTAAACACACTGTAACTTTATATTATGAAAATCAGTCAAGCTCTAACTCAGACACTGATACAGTGCTTTGAAAGTCCAGAGGTTTGAGTAGACCAAGTTAGTATTTAAACAGAAACTATCTCCAGTAGTTAAAAAAGCCAATTCTGCTATTTATACAAAGAAGTGTTATATTGTTAATTTGTGTTACTGTTTTCTCTAGAGGTGATCAACTCTGCAAGACACTGCATCTGGCACAGTACCTACAGTGATGCTACAATCTTAAGCCGTATCCACACACAAGGATCCCATTAGTGACTATGGTAGACATAGGTGAGTTCATGGAGTTCACTGGATCACAACCATACCCTCAAGTCTTTCCATAAATCTGCATTCATAATCATGACAGGTGTGTGCTATGGCACCATTCCTTAAGTACAAATATCTCATAATAAACACACACAAATGGAACCATTTGGTCAAAATGGAAGTCAGATCCAGAGACTAACAACATACCATTTCATCTAATCCATAGCCTTTGTTATAAAAAAATATCAAGATGTAAACATAAGGTAAGACAAAAATCCAAAGAGTATGTACTACAGAAACTATACCAGGATCTTTGAAACAATGCTTATTATTTTTCTGTCAATAACATTTATATACTCCTTTTCAATTTGACGATGACAGAGTACTTGTACAGCACTGAGCAAGCAGAACTGATCCTACTATCAAAAGACACCCACAGACCTGCTGGATAACCTCAACAATCCAAACAGAACAGTTTAGGGCAAGGCGTGAACAATATGTATATAAGCAAATCTGCATGAAACACAGGACAGTTTTCCATTGAGAAGGAATCTGAAAATAGAATAGTAAAAGGTACACCTGTTTTCAAGCAAAGACACATTGAAAGTTGAGCCAGAGCGTATCAACCAGAATATCTTCTTTCACTAAAATTTCCCACAAAATTGTCAAGCAATTTAATACATGAATATGTGCACGCCATCTAAAAAGGTGTAATCAGACTAAGAATTAAAAGAAAGTGACTCACATTATTGAAGAAATAAGTATTTTAAAGTTTTTTCTGATTAAAGTAATATGACAAAATACCAATGGACTCCACTACTGGAGAGATTAACATGCCTGCAGCACTGATCTTTACGAAGATGCTTCAATGACTATGAGGTATTATTTGATACGTAACTAAAAAGCTGCCATATTCAAGAACCTACTCCAATTCAACTATTTCACCAAGTTTCCTAAAGTGATTACAGATGCAAGCAAGGATGATAAACTCAGAGGCTGGGGTAAAGGTGTATGTCGCAAGGATGTAACTGATGTCTACTTGAGAGATGTACATGAGAGTATCAAAGAAAAAGTAATCCCCCCTTCTTTTCTCCATGAACACTATTGTTAAAATCACAGTTAGGGAATAAAGTTAGCCTTGTTGTCTGTGTAATGAACACCCAAGGATGGCAACAGAAGACTCACAAAATATTTAAAATTAAACACTTATGAAAATACTTAAGACAGTTGGTGGCTGGCTAAGAGACTAGCTTCTTTGACATTAGAATTTACACATGTGTACCCAGGATGTCGAGATTTCCAATCTGTGGTAGTCCTCAAATGGAGAAGAGTACACCTCAAAGTGCTTAAGAACTTGTGTACACTTATACAAGGGGAGTTTAGAGAGAGGGTTTTTTCACATTGAGAGGCTGTGGCCTAGTTCTGAAGAGTAATTCCTATACACTGTTCATATGAACTAACCTTTCTCCTTAGATTTCCTGTCTTGTTCTCGGTCTCTGCTTTTGCTTCTGTGCTTGTAAGATTTTCGATCCCGGCTCTTTGACCGCCTTCTGTCCCTGCTACGCGATCTGTGTTTTCTGTCTGATCTATCGTGACTTCTACTTCGGCGCCGATCTCGACTCCTGAACATTTAAAATATGAAGATCAAAGCACTTCCACATTTAAAAATTTTGTTAGGTAACTAACATAGTCATCAACAGGGTAAAATGGGTTGGGAGAAAACTTTAAATATCTGAAAACAGTAGTTTGCAGTTTTATAAGCAATTTTTGGCAACAAATGGGCCTAACAATAATACACTGCACTGGTTTTACTTAAATCATTCTAATGTTTTAAGTCACTTTCTAGAGACATACCTGCTTCGCCTTCTTTCCTTGCTTCTTGATCTTTTATGGTCCCTTGACCGACTTCCTCTTCTATCAGAAGTTCTGCTCGAATGTCTGCTTCGTGAACGACTCCTCTTTCGTCTTTCTCTATCACGAGCTCTCTCTTTTTCCTTTTCTTCTTCCTCACGCCGCCGTTTTCTCTCCTTTTCCTCTCTTTCACGTTCCTTCTCTCGCTCTTCTCGTTCTAGCTTCTCTTTTTTTAATCGATCATCACGATCAGGCTCCTCAGTTCTTTTTCTTAATTTTTCCTTCAAAAGTAAAACATTCCACAAAGGTTATTTGAATGGAAGTAGGTTACTAAAATTTTATTGTTTTTCTCAACGATCCGAAAGGACAGGTTTAGATCAATTTTAGGCACTTCACTAATAATAGATAAATTTTGGACAATAAAGCTTGCAGAAATTACAATCTGCAATTACAGTTTAACAGCTGGAAGGTTTTAGGTTTTCCTTTAAGGAGGAGAAAACGACAATGAAGAAATCTGCATTTAGTGTATGCTTTCTGAAGGATCATGCCCATTGCACACAACATCTTGCATGATAATATGTGCTTCCATCCTCAAGACATGCACCTACTAAATCCTCAATTAGCCCCAGCTGGATTCCTTGTACATGTAAACATTCCAGATCAAGCTAAAAATATTATGGTAACAAGACGTAAGGGTAGTGAGGGTGCAGGGAGAAGGATTCAAGTCAACTAAAACAATACCTATAATCACTCCATGGCACCCAGTACCAAAAGAGAACAAAACTTTATTTGAACATAAGCAAGGCCTTGTCTGGGCCCTGCTAGGCCATAGCCACCCACCCCCAGCAACTAGAAACACAAGAGAAAAGTGAAACTAAAGCAAAGGATTTTTACCTTAAGGGATCATGTTAAAATAACTATGCTATATAATAAGGGAGCATCAACAAATTCAGAACTGCCCACGATATAACAATACCTAATCTTATATTCTAATAGTGAAGTCAGCCACTTAAATCCGGTGACTGAAACTGTGAAGGGGTAAGGCAGATGTTTCTACAACGCTGAAAAGGGCTGCAGGTTTGCAGAAAGGTGTTAAATCTAAATATATATATATATATATTGCGTAACAATCTTTAATCAAACTTTTGGGCTTGTAAACTGTGTTCGTTGTCTTTAGACATTCAGCTGGTCTTTGCTGTTGGTACCATCAGTCAACAGTCTGTTGCAACTAATTAGCATCTTGAGGAGGAAAAACCTCAGCTTGCATTGCCCTCCAAAACAGCCATTTTCTCTACGGGAACAGATGTCAAGAGTTCAGTTGTAACTCTGAGGGATCTTCAGGTCCCACCTGGTGGCTGGCAACCGTAGGCAAGGCAGCACCTGACTTGCATGGCTAACTAGGCTTGGCTGCTTGCTACTGTTCAACAGCAGCCATCCTATGATAGCCAGTGTGGTGTAGCAGTTAGAGCTTCAGGGTAGGGTCTGCAAGACCCAGGTTCAGATCTAGGGGTGTGCAAAAAATACTGAACCCAAAAAATTGGGTCTGGGTATACTGAACCCCCAAAGTATCAGTATTTCCTGATACTCCTAAATCCCAATACCAGTATGGTATTTGGATGCAGTAAATATTTGAGACTGCAGAATTTATTTGGCTCCATTATACCCTATGGGGACCATTACAGTCAATGGTTCCCATAGGGTATAATGGAGAATTGATCCAGGGGTATCTGGGGCTCTGTGGGGGCTGTTTTTTGAGGTAGAGACACCAAATTTGCAGCATAGCTGCTGGCGCCTCTCTCAGCCTTCCCCCTCCAGTATCAAAAAGGTTGGACCACGGGGTTCAATTCTATGGGCCCCAGAAGAAGGTGCCCCCATCCTCCATTGTTTCCGGGGGGGGGAGACATTTAAAGGAAACACAGTCCCTTTAAATGCCTTTTGCAAGCCATGGCCGAACTCCGAAGGCATTTAAAGTGCTCATGGTCCCTTTAAATGCCTTCTCCAAGCTGTAGATTCACCCAAAAGGTGTTGGGACTACAATATCTTTAAACACCTTTTAACGCCAGCTATCTGGCAGCCACCAAAAATCCCAAATATTTTCAGGACTTTTGGGCTCGGCCATATCGGATAGCCAGATAAATATCCCTTCCGATATTCGGCTGAAAAAATACCCGAATGGGGCTTGGATAAACTGAATGCACACCCCTGTTCATATCTGTCCCCTGCTGTGGAAGCTGATGGGGTGATTTTGGACTAGTCACATACTTTCAGCCTAACCTACTTCACAGGGTTGTTGTGTGGATAAAAAGGAGAAGAGGAAAATAATGTAAGTTCAATCAATCAAAACACCTTTAATGACATAATAAAATACATAGCGTGATAAAATATGAGCAAGAAGGTATTACAGAGACAACAAATAAGGGTAATCATACAGAGAGCTTCTATCTTTGACCACTTCAGCCAAGAATTTACCAATCAGAGCTGTGATGTCCAGGTTTGTGTCATTATTCTGTCGTTAATACAATATTTAGAGTATAGTGGAGAGGAAAGGAGTTTCTTACATGGACCTGCGTACAATTGGCAGTCCAAGATGATGTAATGGGTTGAGTCTATTTATACATTTCCTTTCATGGAAAGGGACTTTGTTATACCGACCAGTTAATATTTTTGAAGGAAATATATTTAGTCGTGCTAATGTAAAAGCCCTAGGATGAGAAGGGTGATCTAGGTTGTAAAGGTAACTGGCTATTTTCCCTTGCTGAATAGAAAGGTTTAGTTTGACCTGAGAAGAAAAATAAGGCTGCAAAGGATTTAGTTTATGAAATTCTAGGTCCAGAAGCCTTTGTTTACTGGTTCAAAAGATGGCAGATTCGTTAAAGGGGAGGAAAAAATCAACGGAAAAGCCCAATTGTTGGATTTTCTTTTCGATAGTTGAGAGCCAGGTAATGCTATATGAATCACTTTTTAACCCTGAAAGTAGAGTTTGAAGAGATTCTAAAATGCAACCTGAGCCAATATTTAAAGGTTATTAGCCAAGTTCTTGTTTCAATAAAATGCCCAATTCTCTACAAAGTGCTGAATACGGTGCACAATTAGAGACTCCTAAAATTTGTCGCAAATCTCTGGCCTAAATTTTCTCTAAGTTGTTATTGAATGACTTTATCCAGACCGGATGCTTCAAAAATCTTGATCGCAGCAGGAACATATTGATTTGAGAATTGTTTGAGTTGGGTAGTAGCCCACTTAGCTGCAGCAATGATTCAAGAGCTATGAGTTGCCCAGTTTAAATTATACTGAAAGGTAATGCCTAGACAGCGCTGGCTCTTCGGCTTTGAAACGGAGATGAGCACCGCAACCCTAGAGTCGGATTCAACTGGCTTTCGAGCAAGGGAACCTTTACCTTTAATGCCTAGATATTTAAAGTTTTTTACTTGGGTAATTTCTGTGTTACCTATAATCTATATTTTTGGGTTTCAGCATTTAGAAAAAACTAGTACTTTGGATTTTGAATAGTTAATAACTAAAGAATTATCTTGACAGTATTTATGAAAAGCTTGTATCTTAAAAGACCAACTATGGAACAAGAAAGAATTGTGGTGACGTCAGCATAAAGTATGAGAGGAACTGCATAAGACCCTCGTTTAGGGGTGTAGCCACTGATAGGCCCTAATGATAAAGCTAAGTTGTTTAAGAATAAATTAAAAAGGTGAGGAGCTAAAATGCAACCTTGTTTCACACCTTTAGAGGTTGGTATTTTGGAGGTTAAATTCCCAAATTCTGCGCAGTTGATATGGCAAGAGGTAGAGGAATTAAGTTTTTAAAATCAAAAATAGCAGTCTTCGGTCGATGTCCATGAGTTCAAGTTTCCTCCATAATAAATGTCTGGGAATCGAATCAAATGCACCTTTCAGATCAATGAAGGCCACATACAGTTTTTTCGTGCCAGAGTTCATATGTTTATCGGCCAAAAAGGATAAAAGAAAACAACGGTCTACTGTAGAATTGCTTTTAGAAAACCCAATTTGTTCAAGCTGGATAATCTGATGGGAGTGCATCCAGTTTTTTAGATGTCTTTCTAAGAATTTTGCATATAGTCTGCCGATAATAGAAAGGAGACTTATTGGTATGAAGTTTTCTGGGCTGTTAGGATTGCCTTTTTTAAACGATGGGAATAATAACAGAGTTTAGTCAAGACTGTGGCATTGACCCGGACTGGTTAATAAGAGTAGATTGGCTAATGGAGGAGCCCACCACTGCGGGTGTTTAATTAAAATTTCTGCAGGAATTCCATCCGGACCAGGGGATTTACTAGATTTTAATTCTGAAATCAGTTCACCTATTTCATCTGGGTTTACAGACGGCATATCATCTGAGACTGTATTATCGATATTGGATGAGAGGGTATCCATAGTATTAAAGATAGACTTATAATAGTCAGTCCAGATTTGAGGGTGTATTTTTGGACTGAAATAGTCTGGTCTGTTATTCATATCAGTTGATATCACCTGCCAAAAGGTTTTATTATTGTTAGATTTTAACACTTGCAATAAATTGGCCCACTTTCTCTGATAAAAATAGTCTCCTCTTATCATGTGTAAGTTCTTGGTACAGTTTGTTTTGATCTCAATATTGTTTTAATTTAACAGAACTATTTATTTATTTATTTGCATTTTTACCCCGCCCTCCCCGCGAACGGGCTCAGGGCGGCTTACACAGGGGCACAAGCCCATACATAACACAATATAAAACAGTAAAACAGTAGCCGAAATTCTTTATATGTGGACCTTACTAATTTTTTCACTGATAAACAATCAGAGTCAAACCAGACAAAGAACCATAAGAAACTGTGGTTGTAGGTTTGGCAAGAGAGCCAAGGAAGTCTATTAATTGGTGGTAGTGAGAAAGAGATTCTGCAGGAGATCTTGACAAGATTAAACACTCTTTTTTTCAAATTAGAGGCTGTATCTGATTCAAGTAAAGTGCATAATTTGTTCTCTACAGTAGATGTCCACCTTAATTTTCTCAATATTGTTTTGTGAAACAGAAGAGTCATTATTACAGATCAAATTAACTTCAAGTGGAAGGTGGTCACTTTTGGTTCTAAAGCTGATGGAAAATTACTAATAAAAGGAAGTGTGGAAGTCGAGCAGATACAGTAATCTACTACACTGCAGTCTCGAGTTGAAACAAATGTAAATTCATCGGTGTCGGGAAACTGTGAGATACCATTTAAAATAATTAAATTGTGGGTGATACAAAATTCCCCCAGGTTGGTCCCCGCCTTATCAGGGAGTCTTTTGATGTTCTAGAAAGGGAAAGGGGGGGGGTGTATGTGTGATTCCTCAGTCTCCTCATAGCTTAGTTGTGAGCTCAGTGTTTGGCTGTCTGGGCCAATCTGAGCATTAAAATCTCCCGACAAAATGAGATGAGCTGTGGGATTTTTTTTTTTTTTGCAGAGTTGTTAAAAACATGGATAATTTGTCTTTTCTTACTGATGAAATTAGGTTAGTAGTGGGGGGGAGTAAAGATAAATTATAATTAGTTTAATGTCAGAGCTATAAAGTAGGAATGCTTGTGCGAAGGGTGGCTAAGTATCAATCTCCTTTACTGAAAGATTGGCCCTAAATAATGAAGTAAGCCCATTCCTATTGCAGCCTTTTGAATACAATTTATATACCAGCATGTTAAAGGAAATGAATTCTCTTATTTTCAAGTCTGATAAAGACCAGGTTTCTTGGAGAAAAATACAAAGGATTTTAAATAGTTAATAAAGTCTGGGTCTAGTTGGTTTTATCAGCTCAGATGGTCATGACTGGCCTTATAGGGGGAAGGTGCCTCTTAAGTCTAAGACAGCCTGCTTCCCACTAGAAGATCTGGACCCCTGGAAGGTGAAGAAAATCAGGTAAGGAAGAAAGAAAATCAGGTAAGCAAACTCTCCATTTATAACCAAGACCTTCTAGCCTGATAAAACATACTGTTAGTATATCTACATTCATTTTAAGGTTTCTGAAAAGTCTCCCAAAACATGAATCATCATCAGCCTTTGAATCTGCCAGTTTCATGCCATAAACAGGTCACAGAAATGGGAACTCTGTTTCTTTCTGAAGAGACCACGAAATTAGACACTATCACTAAGAATTATTCAAAAGTGTAACATTCTTAGGATGTAAAACTATTTCAGCAATCACTAAGCAATTGTAATATTTTTCAATAAACAAAACATTATGGTTTATCTGTATATCAAGAGAATTAACTCACTTTTAATTCTTCAACCGTAGCCTTAATTTTAGCATAGCCCATATGCTGTTTTCCCATCAAGTGATCGTCTACCCTGGACTGTGCATCTCCTACAATTAAAAAGGCTCCACAAACTTCACAAACTTCCATCTGCTTTTCCTGAGCAGCAAAACTCTCAATTGTCTGGGAAGAGAAGGCACTTGTTAATAAAAGGCAGTGTGACATTAAAACTTTATCTAAAATCTGATCAAGCAGCTTACTTTATATTTCCCGAATTCTATCCTCCACTTTTTGGATCACAAAGACCCTCCAAGGTAATTCTAACAAATTCATACAGGATAAAATATTAAAATCTAACAAAGACATAATAAAATGTGCCAACTTCACCAGTATCTCAGATTATAAGCAGGATCCAGAACAGGATTTCCTGAGCTGTGTGTGTGTGTGTGTGTAATAATTTTGATAGTTTCTGCCTCATGCTTTTCTCATGCCACGGGAGGAGTATTTTGGGTTTCACCAGAAGGGAAGAGGTGAGAAAGTCATGCTCCACCAGAAGATGTTATTGCTGAATCCAAGCCAATGAATTACACCTTTAAAATACACTATTAAGGTTCTATTTATACTTCCAGAAATAACATGGTCAGCATTTTATGCCAACTACACAGAATGTGGCACCACAACACATACTACCATATGAATTCTAACTGTAAACTCTTTTATGAGATATATGGAAATGTTATTCCTTTAAGTTGTACTCAATCCTGCTAGAACTGACTTGCGTAATTCTCAAAACATTTCTGAAAGCGTATGATGCACCCTGGTTTGTGAAGATACGCATGGCAAGAACAGGTATGGAAGACATGTTTTCAGCTCTTCTAGGCTCATGAGAATATAGTGATTCAGTGAGAAACACATGCTGGCTCCACTCTGATGCATAAACAAACTATTCAGGCAACAATTTAAAATGCCAGATGCAAAGGTTCTCACATACAGCCCTTACAATTTTTTATTGTCAGTGAATTATTTCCAAGATACAGACCTTTAGTAGGCATTATCAAAAGCCACCAATTAGAAAACAATGAGGTAATTTGACAAAGTGAATGGCAAGCATGACTAGTTACAAAATACAAGTGTTTATAGTAAACTAAAAGTGGAAATAAGTTCAGACTATTTGTTTGCATCCTGTGGTGCCTTCCAGGCTTTCAGGAAGCAGAATACTTACTGAAGTTGTAGACCTGAGCAACTCTCTCTCTTCTTTTAACTGTTCAACGAGTTTCATCATGCCTTGAGCCTCTTCTACCTTTCCTTCAGAACCCAGTTCTTCAATCTGCAAAGGAGAACAATGCTATCAAAGTGCTCTTAGCCAAGCTTCTGATTAATATTTCTGTATTATTCAAGACAAATTTTACCTGTTGCAGAAGTACGTCAATTTTGTCAGTTAAGACCTGAATCTTCTCTTCATTTTTACCAGTAGGTCCTGCTGCTTGCTAAATATTAAAATACAAGTATCAGTTATCTAACATAGAGAAAAAAAAACACTGTATGGGTTTACTAGACTATGCCATGACTACTGTAAGACACATGCGAAGAAATATGCCATAAACAAAAAAAAGAGAAACTCCACAGTAAGTTTTAATGGATAAAATGGTATATTGCTACATATAGTACATTACAATTTGTTTGCCAGCACAATGAATATTTTAACTTATATTGCTCATCTGAGTTCAGCACAGTCATGCACCTGGTAATCTAAATGAGAATTGTGTCATGCTGTTATTCACAGCTTGCAAAATAACAGAGCTGGGAAAGCATATGAATCCTGTATGTTTTCAGAAACATAAAATAGTTAAATTGTTTTATTTATTTAGAAATTTCTATAAGAAATTTCTCCAGAAAACCTGCTTGAGGTGGCTTACAAAATAAAATATGATAAAACCAAAATACCATAAAGGTCATTAAAATTAATGATGGTTTTAAAACATTTTTTTTAAAAACCTATGACGCTATCATGGTTACCAGTCTATACAACTACCAGAACTACTCTATTTAAAAAAATTTCTTATAAGAGAAATACAAGCAAGTCTATTTTAAATTTGTTTTCCCACTATTGAGATCAAGCAGAAACAGTCCTTTTGCTTTGGTATCTGCATTTGCACTTACACCCGAAGACTGCTGATTCTGGGACAATGCTAAGCGGGCATGTCCTCTTCGAATTCGGCGTTCGACTTCTGCAAGCAAGCTCTGTAAATAGCGAAGGAAGTCTCTTTCATAGCCTACTTTCATGAAACGAGAACTCTTCTCATATCTGAAAAGGGTCCAATGAGTTATTTTTTACTAAACTTGAAATAGAGATGAAGTTTGTATTGCAAAACAATAAGTCCAATATCTAAAATAATGATAAGCAAACAATTTCAGTAAAATAATAAACTCTGAGATTATTTTGCTATCATTAGTGCTTATTCTATTGTTTAGCTAGACTTAGCTATTAATAAAGCATACTATACTCACTGTTTTCTGAGGTTTTCGTCATGGATTTTTTCACATGGACCTAGAAATAAAGTAATGAGAATAAAACAGAAACATAGAGCTGGAAGGGACCTCCAGGGTCATGTAGTCCAACCACTGTACAATGCAGGAAATTCACAGCTGCCTCCTCCGCCCACTCCCCAGTGAGTCCTGCTTTATGCCCAGAGGAAGGGGAAAAAACTCCAAGATCCCTGGGCCAATCTGGCCTAGAGGAAAATTACTTCCTGATCCCAAAGTGGTGATCAGCATTACCCTGGGCATATAGGAAAGGGCCATAAGAGCTGAGCACTGGGTCATCCCTTCCTGCCATCCTTTTCACAGTCTGCCTAAATTTACAAAGTCAGCATTGCTGTTGGATGATCATCTACCGTATTTTCCTGCGTATAAGACTACTTTTTAACCCAGGGAAATCTTCTCAGAAGTGGGGGGTCGTCTTATACGCCGGTACGCCAGAAGCATCAGCACAGCTCTATATTTTAACTGGAAAACTCTCTATTTTAACTGGAAAAGTTGGGGGTCGTCTTATACGCCCAGTCGTCTTATACGCCGGAAAATACGGTACTTAAAAACCTCCAAAGGAGGAGAACCCACCACCTCCTGAGGAAGCCTCTTCCACTGAGGAATGGCTCTGCCAGAAGTTCTACCTAACGTTTAGCTGAAACTCTTTTGATTTAATTTTGATCTGGTTCTGGTCCGACCGGGGGCTTTTGTTCAATCCCTTGCTGATAATTCTGCACAAACACACACAAACTTGAGAAAGTTTTCACTCCGATACAATTCTAAGCAATGCTCAAACTTTTCTACTTTTCAACCTTGGCTGGCAGAATGCTAGAGTGACTGTGACCTTATCAAAACGACACCAGACCACAGATGTAGTTTCAACATAAAACTAAAAAAGCTCACAGACAAAATACTGAAGAATATTTCCAAGTCCAAATAGACGTGATCTATTTATATGATTGTCAATGTCTTTGAAGGTTTTAGAAGTATGTATGGCATTGGCAACACTGTAAGGATAAGCTCAATATACTATGAGGAATGATTATGAACTTGTAAAGCATTGAAACCCACAGCATATTTGGGGCAAAGGAAAGACAATGTTCTGACAAGAGCCTGTCAATCTGGCATTATGACACCTTGACTGGCACACCATTACAATACAGCATCAGCTAAAATGACTGGGCTAACACAATCTTTGCATGGCCCTCACCAAGAACGGTGTTTGCTTGTGCAACAAGCATTCATAGTGGACCTTAAGACTGTTAATTATCTAATTTTCAACCTTGATATACAACAGGAGAGTATTCTATGTATTAGCTGTATAAGAGAGACAGAGATGATGGAAAGAACTGAAAGATTATTGCTAAAAACTATTTACAAGAACGAGGAAAGCTACATTTTAATCCTTTGAAATAAGTAATTAGCAGAAATTATGGCTGATCTGCAATTCTCAGGATATAAATCGTGAATTTACGCAAATCTAAAGCTTTGAGGTATTTCAATGTTTGGCATACTGGGCCCTAATGAGACAGAAACATTGAGTTGGATCCCATGGTACAACAGTAGAAGGTGCTGATGGTTGCTAATGTTCTCCTAAACCCAGCAGTCCTTTTTCAGACCCACATGGGAAACCACATGGAGCACTAGCCACGTGGGTTAGGAAACTGCAGTGGGGAGGGGGAAGTCAGCAAATATACCTCTTGAAAGAGTAGAACTCTGCTAATGAAGGAGGGAGTGATTTTGTCCTTTTCCCCATCTCAACTACTGCATCCTGACCCAGGAAGTTCCTGGGGTCGGAAAGGACTGCCCAGGGGAAGGGAACATGAAAAACATACACAATCCTTGTCTTCATGGGATCCAACCCACTATAGCATATTATTAGCAACAATTATGAACTGAGACAGTTTTCATACATAAACATTTCTTCCCTCAGGTGTTGTCATGAGTCCCATTCTGCAACCCATGATTCCCTGTGTTAATTAAGCTCCCAATACAGGCAATTCCATTGGGCAGCCTCTTTAACAAGAGTGGGAACAGGTCAACAAATATCAAAGCCAAGGTGGAAAAGAGCACCTATCCATGTAAGGGGGTGTGATCACACAAAAGAATGAAAACCCTGAAGGGAGAGTTACATGTAGAGATGGACATGAAATGAACCACAAAGCAAAATTCATCATGAATTTTGCCCTGTTCGTAGTTCACAAACCAAAGTTCATGATGAGTCTACCGTCACAAACTTCCATTAAATTTTTAAGCATTTCGTGATGGTTTATTTATTTATTAGATTTATACCCTGCCCTTTCCGCTAAGGCAGGCTCAGGGTGAATTACATATAAACTTTTAAAAACAGAATAAAATCATACAAACAATTCTAAAGTGCTATACATAGATACTGCATATCAGATGGCAAAACAACAATTTCAGTATTATCCATAACAGCCGCTAGTAAAAATTCTGGTTTTAAATTAAGATGTTATATGTGGCTCTCATTCAAATGCCTGGTGGAAGAGCTCCATCTTGCAGGCCCTGCAGAATTGTAATAAATTCTATCATGGACAGAGCAGAAAGCAGGGGTTTAAAGGTAGACTAGGGAGCCAGTTTATTCAGGTTTTGTTAGATTTTTAAGTTGTTTTATCCATTTCTGCATCCTCCTGTGTGTATGAAATCTTTTTATTGTCTTTATTCCTACCCTGAGACTAACTGCATCCACCTTTCCTTCATATTCTGATTTCCTAAAATAGAATTCATTGCCTACGTTGTCCCCAGAACACTTGGATGGAAAGAACAGAGTTATGTGTAGGCCAGCTCTTAAGTGAGCCACAATGCATGCTTAACTGAATGGGTGGAGGGTGCGACAGAGAGAGGCAGAAGTGGGAAGGGAGAGGCTAGCAAGAGACAAATGGGCCCCAGGGAGGCTGGGAAGTAGGGCCCTCCGTTGCTGCTTCCCCCTGCACTTCCTGAGGGGCCTGTGACAGGGGTATTCAAGGTGGCTTTAAAAAAAATCAATATAAAGCAGCATCAAACAGCATTAAGATTTAAAAGCAACATTAGCAACAATAAAAACTGAAAAGACCACAGCATCAAAAAGCATTAATCTCAACTTTTATGAAGGAAACATATACTTACCTAAGTCAGAACGGGTGTTTGTGAACAATTCAGCAGGGCAAAATCCACAAAGGTAGTATTTACAAACCTGTAAGAAGAACAGGGTTAGAATTTGACTTTGTTACTTTATTTAACAGACAAGCACTCCTTGGAAACAACACTAGAAGGTGGTTCCTTCCAGTGTCCCTTTCTCCTGCATTACAGCTGCCTGCCATCACTCCACAAAAGTAAACAATTTCTAAGAGAAAAAGGAGGTGACAGTAGTTACTAAGCACATTATTGTTCTCCATAAAATGTGAGGTAAAATATCCATGTTCCTTTACCTATATTTGTAGTTAATGCAGTGAGCCAAGTGTAATGTTCAAGTAGTTACTAGACATGAACCACGAGTAAGAGATCAATCAGAGGGTTCAATGGTAGAGCATCTGGTTTGCATGTAGAAGGTCCAAGGTTCAATTGCCAGCTAGAAGAATCAGGTAGCAGGTGATGTGAAAGACCTCTACTCAAGACCTTAGAATTGCTGCTGATCATAAAATTGACAGACCAAAAAACTGCCTCAGTAACAGGCAACTTTATGTGTGTTTAGTGCGTGATATCTGCAGTGAGCAACCAGTCTCTGGCCTTAGTATTAAGCCATAATGTAACTACACGAACTATTGTGCTACAGGATGGCCTACAAATATCTATTATCCTCACAAGCCTTTCTTTACAAACAAAAGGCAACATTTCAACATGGTCATATTCAGCTTTAAGGTATTATGTGTGCATTAAAGTCAGATTCCATTTTAAACCAAGTTTACTTTTAAAAGAGAAATCACAGCCAACACTTTAAAAAATACTATTTAAAAACCAATTTAAAACAACCCATTGATATCTATCCATCCTACATACAATAAGCTGCTTTGACAGTCAAGATCTCATCCCTTGTCTTTTTTGTTTTATATACAGAATCTACTAAATTATTTTATTAACCTCAAGAAACTCTAGGGCATGACTATATTTGGGGATGCAGCTGCACAGGAGACAACAGATGGGAGTGACTAGCATTCAATTATGAAGTCACACACACCGGATTTCTTGAAAGCTAAGATCAAGGTGGCTAAACTTGACAAGGAGCAACCAGCAGATACATGCAGCATCAAAGTACAGTGTAGCAAGCAGGCATTTCAAAGAAAGGATGTCTTTCACTTGTCATTTTCTACAACTAATCTCAGTTTCTCATTCTGAGAAAAATACTCTTTTTTTTGCACACCTGAGATATTTTTGTTACCTGAAGCTCTGAAACACTGGATCAGAGTATTTTGGAAGATATTAATGTAATCAAGTAATTTCTTTTTAAATAACTTTTTCCAGTAAACATGACGGATACAAACCAAATGGCCAGCAGAGATTTCTACCTCACCTGAGGTTAGAGAAATCATAGCAGAAAGTTAAAGACTGCAAGTTCCCTTGGCCCAAGCAGCACACAGAAACAACTGACTGAACTGGTACCAATACTGCATTCTGAAAATGAACTTTATGGCCTTCTCTTTATTCCCTCAACATTCCAATCTGTTTATCAAAAGAATATCACAGTCTAGAATGGAGACTTAAAACTATACAAATCCACCACAAAGACATTTAATCACAAGTTGTGTCTCATCTCATTTGAGCTTTCCACATGAGCAGGAAAAATACAGAGGAGAATGGTTACCTAATCATTCTACTCATGATTAGGAAAAAACAGTGTCATGTTTTCCTATCCAGGAAAACAGCAAGCCTCTAAAAAAGCAGATTCAAGCATCTAGAAATTAGAATTAATTTTTCTAATAGACCATTTGTTCAATTCACACAGATAGGCATTCCCAAGCACTGCCATGGCTCCAAACAACACATTTCACCATGATGAAATCATCAAACTTTACATTTGTATTTAAATGTTTATGCTTTGCTTTTCTTCATAATGATGAAACAAGGCATTCCCCATCATTTTTCCGTTCTCCATTTTAACGTTATAACAAGCACCTTATGAGGTAGGTTAGCCTGACAGACACTGAGTGGCTCATAGTCACCCAGTCAGCTTCCCTGGCAAACTGGGCATTCAGAGAGTCTTCCAGTTCCTGTTCCTAGTCCAACACTCCAACCACATCACCATGGTGACTCTTTCTATGGAAAAGCTAAGCCAAAAATGCTTCCCATGTTAGCTATTTAAAGAAAACACACATGGCAACCATGTCCAAATTGTGGACAACTAGGCCACTGGGACAGAGTTTAAACATGTCACATACGCGAATATGATATCGCAATTCTGTGAGAATTTATGAACAGTTCCTTACTCTTGAGTGAATTTAGGATGAACGCTTCGGACAAAATCCAATGACCATAAACGCCACGAAAGCCGTTTTTCTTACAAAAGCGGCTTCATGAAATGAAGGCTATACAGACATAGCCATATCAATGCAACCCCCTCAGTGACATAAAAGCAGCAAACAGACCCCCTATTGCACACAGAATGAGCCCCCCCCCTGCCCTCGAAGGTCCAGTCAGAGGCCTCTTCCTACTCTCCGACTCCAAAGACACCAATCCATTGTTCGCCCGCTGAACCCCCACAGCGCGCTCAACACGTCCACGTTCCCGCAATTTCCCTTGCTGGCCCTTCACCTTCCAAGCCACAGAACGTGCTCCCCAAACCAACCCCACCCCCCGGCTCATCGTCCCTGCTCTGAATTCGAGAGGCCTGCGCGGCCCCGAGCCAGGCCGCCTCCTCGCTACTGAACGATTACCCAATACCGAGGCGGCAACACCTCCCCGTTTCAGGCTTCCCCGCCGGGTACCCACATCCCGTTAACTCCGGCGCCTGCCACAGCCCATCCATTTGCGGCACGCGGCCAAGCGAGAAAGGACCACAGGGGCCCGCAATGCTTACACTTTCATGGTCCCACCGCACGTTGCTGCGCTTCTCATCTGGGGCCAGGTTCCTATCCCGGCCCATAAGCTCGTCCAAAAGCTGGGCGGCCGAAATCATCGTGGCTGCCGGTCGGTCGGTCGGCCTGGCCGCCGCTTCCTCCTTAACGTCCCCTCACCTACAATACACCAAACCCGCGCCGCTACTAGTGACAGAAACAAAATGGCGGCTCCCTCGACCCAAAGCGTTCCCCACAATGCACTGCGTACAATGAACCTGCAGCGTTTTACGCTTACAGGCCGCGCGAAGTGTGCGTAGTCGGCCGGCTTCTGTGACTAAGTGATGAAAAAGTGCTGTGCAGACTTTGTTTCAAGACGATACCTAGTAAGCGTCCGGTGTTCTTTTTAAACAAATTCCATGATATTCGGATCAGGTAGCCAAAAAGGCACAGATCTTTACTGTTATTCTAAGATCAAGCTGCTTTCTAAACACAGCTTCAAGCCTCCTTTCATCAAGTTTTCAAGAGACTCACAGAAGATACAAATCACTAGAAATTAAATGAATATTCATCAAAAGCTGTTGGACAAGAAGTACACACAGTTCCGTGAAAGCGCATGCAAGCTCAACGCTGCCAAGAAACAACTTCACTTAGAATTAATTTAAGGTGCACAACTATACTCAGAAAAAATCATAAGAACATAAGAGTAGCCAATGTTGAATCAGAACAGTGGCCCATCCAGTCCAACACTGTCAGACAGTGGCCAAAAATATGGGTGCCATCAGGAGGTCCAGCAGTGGGGCCAGGACACTAGAAGCCCTCCCACTGTTGCCCCCCCCCCCCAGCACCAAGAATACAGCGCATCACTTGCCCCAGGCCAACAGTACCTATTTATACCTTGTGGCTGATAGCCACTGATGGACCTCTGCTCCATATGCTTATCTAATTCCCTCTTGAAGCCGTCCATGCTTGTAGCCATCACCATCTCCTGTGGCAGTGAATTCCATGAGATAAGAACATCCAAACACTTCAGCCTACAAAATGCATGTACTGCCACCTTCTCTGAAGCTAATCTTTTAAAACTTGTAGCCATCGCATTTTGTAGCAATGGATTCTGTAAATGTATTATAGTTGCTTTCTGCATCCTGCATCTACTTCCTATCATTGTTTGATACTGAGTTGTAGAGTGAAGAAAAAAACACTTTTTACCCACCACACACCATTTTATAAATTTATCTCCCCTACTTATTTCTCATTAGGCAAACAGCTCATATATTAACATACAAATCAGGATACACATTGGTCGTCTTCTCCATTCCACCCCCTCCCCAGCTTTCTGGTGATCAGAACTGCAAAAGGGCAACCTCATAATGCTGGCAGCTTTATTTTCAATCTCCACACATGGCATTTGCCTCTACCACTGTTAAGTACTTGGTTGATATTTTTATTAACTACATTCTACAACCTATACCATGACTCCAAGATCTCTTTCTTGGATAGTCACAGTCAGTTAACATCCTATCAATCTATATGCGCTGTTGATTTTTTATCCCTGTGTTGCAATGCATTTACCAAGGCTGTAAAGGTGAAGTATGTCTTCAGTTTTATTTCAGGAAAAAAATGTGCCTGAGCTATATAGGAGTCTAGAGAACACAGCTGTCAAGAAAAGCTGAAATTTTATATATATAAAATTCTCTTGATGCGTTGGACATTTCCAGCTTTCCCATTGGCTGTGCTGCACGCTCCATCATCCATTGGCCCATCAACCGCCACTCAAGAGTAATTCCATGCTATTGGCTGGGTGCTGGGTCCACTCCTCTTCCCTGCCCACTGCCACCTCAGCCACTGTTGCCTGTCAGAATAACTGCCAAATGGCTGTCTCTCTCCTGCTTGGCTCCTGTGGGACTAACTTTTCCCTCAGTGGCTGTTGCTAGGCAACCAAGCTTGGTTCTATCAGTAAAAAGACAAAGGAATGAAGCCCTTTCCAGGCCTTTGTGGGGAACTCATTGGGCCAGTCCTGACTAGGGTTGCCAGCTCCAGGTTGGGACATTCCTGGAGATTTTGTGCTGAAGTCTATGGAAGCCAGGGTTTGGGGAGGGGAGAGGCCTCAGCTGAATAGAATGCCATAGAGTCCACCCTCCAAAGCAGTTATTTTCTCCAGGAAGAGAGAGAGATCTCTTGTCTGGAATTCAGTTGTGATACCAGGTGATACCACAGCCAGTGTGGCATAGCAGTTAGCACTTCAGAGCTGGGCCTGCCGGACCCACATTCTGCTGTGGAAGGTGATTGGGTGATTTCAGACCACTCACAGATTTTCAGCGTCACCCTTTCCCCCCCGCCCACTGCCTGCTGGGCCACTTTCCTGTCAGAATAAACTGTGAAAACGGCTGTCTCTCCTGCTTTGCTCTGCCATGGCTGGCTGGCTACTGAGGTGGGCCAGCGGCCATCAAACCATTCTCTTCAACCCCCTGCTGTGTGGCTGACTTTCCCCTAGGGTTGCCAATCTCCAGGTGGGACCTGGAGATCTCCCACTGTTACAATTGATCTCCTGATGACAGAGATCCGTTTCCCTGGAGAAAATGGCTGCTGTGAAGGGCATTATGGCATTATACCCTGCTGAGTCCTTCCCTTCCCCAAATGCTGCCCTCCAGAGGATCCACCCCCAAAACCTCCAGGTATTTCCATACTCTGAGCTGGCAACCCTACTTTCCCCTCAGTGCCTATTGCTAGGCAACCAAGCTTGGTTCTGTTAGTAAAAGGTGGGGGGAGGAGACCCTTTCTATGCCTATTTTGGCCTTTTGGAGAAAACTCATTGGGGCCAGTCCTGACTATGGTTGCCAGCTCCAGGTTGGGAAATTCCTGGAGATTTTATGGTACAGTCTACAGAAGCCAGAGTTTAGGGAGGGGAGCAGCCTCAGCTGAACAGAATGCCATAGAGGCCACCTTCCAAAGCAGTTATTCTCTCCAGGGGGAGAGATCTGTTGTCTGGAGTTCAGTTGTGATACCAGGTGATACCACAGCCAGTATGGCGTAGCAGTTAGCGCTTCAGAGCAGGGTCTGCCAGACCCAGGTTCTTGCTGTGGAAGCTGAGTGGGTGATTTTGGACCACTCACAGACTTTCTGCCTAACCTACCTCACAGGGTTGTTGTACAAGTCAAAAGGGGGAGAGGAGAATGATGTAAGCTGCTGTGGTCCCCACTGCAGAGAAAGACTGTACTTTTCCTCCTGCAGAACCATTGTTGCCAATCTCCAGGTGAGGGCTGGAGATCACTCAGAATTACAACTGCTCTCCAGGAGGGAGAGGGGGGAGGAGATGGAAAGCTGAAATCAGAGGGGCAGATAACAGCAGGTTGGTGGTTGCCTGGGAAGGAGATTGAGTTGCCAACTCCAGGTTGGGAAATTCTTGGAGTTTTGAGGGGTGGAGCCTGGGAGAGGGTGAGGTTTGAGGAGGGATAGGACCTCAGACAGGTACAATGCCATAGACAACACCCTCGAAACCAGCCATTTCCTCCTGGGCAACAATTGTTGCCAATCTCCAGGTGGGGGCTAGAGATCACTCAAAATTACAACTGCTGTCTAGGCGGGAGGTGGATGGAGATGGAAAGCTGAAGTCAGGGAGGCAGATAAAGGTAGGTAGATGGTTTGCTGGGAGGGAGATAGGGTTGCCAACTCCAGGTTGGGAAATTCCTGGAGATTTGAGTGGTGGAGCCTGGAGAGGGTGAGGTTTGAGGAGGGGTGGGACCTCAGACAGGTACAATCCCATAGACTCCACCCTTCAAACCAGCCATTTCCTTCTGGGGAACCATTGTTGCCAATCTCCATGTGAGGGCTGGAGATCACTTAGAATTACAACTGCTCTCCAGGGGGGAGGAGATGGAAAGCTGAAATCAGAGGGGCAGATAAAAGTAGGTTGATGGTTGGCTGAAAAGGAGATGGGGTTGCCAACTCCAGGTTGGGAAATTCCTGGAGATTTGAGGGATGGATCCTGGGAGAGGGTGAGGTTTGAAGAGGGGTGGGACCTCAGACAGGTCCAATGCCATAGACTCTACCTTCCAAACCTGCCATTTCCTCCTAGGGAACCATTGTTGCCAATCTCCAGGTGAGGGGTGGAGATCACTTAGAATTACAACTGCTCTCCAGGAGGGAGGGGGGATTATTGATCTGGTCAAGAAAATTTGGATCGTGGTTTGCTCCAAATTTATCCTACTTGGCACAGCAATTTTATGTGTGTTGTCCTGTAAGCCATAGGGTTGCTAGGTCCAATTAATCTGCTGGTGGGGGTGGGAGGTAGTCATCGGGGTGTGTGATGTCACTGCGTGCAATGTCACTGACATGATGACATCATATGGAAGTGACATCATCACATTGGGGTGTTGCAAGGCAATGCTCTGGTATTTGGGACAAAATTCTATGGTTACCAGTGTTGCTGTTCAGGGGTGGGGCTTCCCCCACCAGCCAACTGGCTGGCGGTGGGCTGGAGCCCTGGAAATCAGGGGAACCTCCACTCGGATCGGGGGTCAATTAAAATCTACATAAAATCATCTAAAACAATTCAGTTATAAGCAATATAAAGTGCTGGCGATGTTTAATTGATTGCATTAATGATGGTGTACTATATAAGTGCATACAAGGTCTAACAAATGTTCTGCTTCATGATCTTCCTGGTGACACAGGCTGTAGATGGCAAAGCTAAGGGCCAGGGCTCTATAATTAAGATTGTTGGTGGTAGCTCCTTAGTTGAAAGCCTGGTGAAAGAGCTCCATCTTGCAGGCCCTGTGGAATTGTAAAAGATCCTGCAGGGCCTTGATCTCTTCCAGGAGCTCATTCCACCAGTATGGAGCCGCCACTAAAAAAGCCCTGGCCCTGCTAATAGCAAGCCTGGCATCCTTGTAAACCCCTGTAAAAAGCATTATTCAGAATAGCAGTTTGCACAAGGCACAAGGTCATCTGTTAAGTCAACCCCTGCTACCTTCCTCGAAAGTGATGGCCTCTCTACTTTAGTTCCTGAATTGTTTTGCTCATATGGAGAATGTGTTGTTCTGAGCACCTCAGGGTGATCTTACTGGTACTTGGCCTGTGCAGCTCAGTGCCCCGCAGGAGTACTATGTGCAAATGTCTTTGCCGCATTCCTAAGTTGCCTCCTCCTTGTAGCGTTGGTGTATCTGGCTCAACGTTTGCCAGGAGCTTTCTTGGGGGCAGTAAGAGGTGAGAGGTATGAGGGGGAGTTGGTGTGAGGGAGTGGTGAT